TACTATAGTATATTGGGGCTATAATGGGGTAATATTGGGATAATGGAAAAGAAAATGGAAACTACTATAATATATTGGGGCTATAATGGGGTAATATTGGGATAATGGAAAATAAAATGGAAACTACTATAGTATCCTGGGGTTATATAAGGATAATGGACCCTAAACCCTAAACCCTAAACCTTAAACCCTAAACCTATTTGGGGCCTCAGCCACTCAGCGGCAGGCCTGGGGTTCCCCTGGAAGCGGACCAAGGCCTCGGGTAGAAGCTCTGCCTTCACGGCGCTGCAGAAGACCAGGCCTCAGGCGGCTACGAGTCCATTGGGTTTAGGGTTTAGGGTTTAGGTTTAGGGTTTAGGGTTTAGGGTTTAGGGTTTAGGGTCCATTATCCTTATATAACCCCAGTATACTATAGTAGTTTCCATGTTCTTTTCCATTATCCCTATATAACCCCAGTATACTATAGTAGTTTCCATTTTCTTTTCCATTATCCTTAAATATAACCTCAGTATACTGTAGTAGTTTCCATGTTCTTTTCCAGTATCCCTGTATAACCCCAGTGTACTACAGTAGTTTCCATTTTCTTTTCCATTATCCCTATCTAACCCTACTTCCTCTAGTTCTGGACCATTGAAACCCTGGTTTCGAGGCTCCTTTAGGGGTTGAAGCCCATCATGTGAAGAGGGCGAAGAAGGACAGAGAAGCAGAGCTAGGTCTGGGACAAGTTGCCCCACAGGCTGAGGCAAGTGCTCAAGCCCGGGCGTTCAAGCCACTTGCACAGGCGGTCGTACAGCAAGTGAATCTGCCTTCCGATTCACAACTGAAGATTATCAAATTGCGCCGCTGAGTCAGTTTACTGTAGTAGTTTTCATTGTCTTTTCCATTATCCTTATATAACCCCAGTATACTTATAGTAGTTTCCATTTTCTTTTCCATTATCCCTATCTAACCCCTACTTCCTCTAGTTCTGGACCATTGAAACCCCTGGAAACTGAGGCGCCTGTAGGCATCTTCCAAATTTTCCGGGAAGTCGCCACCAAGGCTGGTCTTGAACTCCTGATTGGCTCAAGCTCTTCATATGACTTAAAGTCTAAACTCCTTGAAGGGGGTTATATAGGAGAGTATATTGGGGAGTACTATAGGGCTTATTAAGGGGGATCCTGGGAGTTTAGACTGTAGCTCATATCCCTCCAAACCCAGAAGATGCCCTGGGCCAAAGCCAAGCTCTTTTGAGTAGCGTTTTTTCTGGTGGCTAAACCTAGTAAGATGATATTCCTTATGTAAAATACTAGACCCCAAAAGGAGGATATAATCTTACTCCATATTGGGTACCATAGTATCCCCAAATTAGATACTACTCTTTTGAACCTGCCTGCATTGCCTCCGACTCCGCAGAAGGACCAAAGAGGGTCGCATCAAGATCCTCAGCCACACACAGTAAGCTTCTACTTCTACGACCCGGGAACACTCGGTGCAGCACCATGTACCATCCAACTTGAACCCCTTTCTCCTCGCCAGCTTCACGCAAACATCTGAAAGCTCTGCCCTCAAGCCTCATGAACAACGAGACTGTGTGATATGCTGTATACAGCTGTCGCCAGCACCATTGCTACTGCCGCTGTTGCCCTTTTTCCTTTCACACTTCTTGTTTAGGGGTAGGTTTTGCCACGCCTGGGCTGGACCCTGTGCCAAGAAGGACTCCAGGAAGATAGGTGCCAGGGGCGAAGACTTGGAGATCCCGAGGCGAATCTCCTCACTGGCCTGGCTTCACAGGGCGTCTCATGATCCTTTCCGGGTCCTGTTTGTAAGGAGGGATACGAGGACAAGAACTTTGATGTAGATTTGTCATGTGTTCAAGCCTGGAGTGCTGCTCTTTGCAATTTCTTTGCATAAACCATTGTACAACAACAGCGCCCAAACAAGAACAGGACATGAGCTATAGTCTAAACTCCTAGTATCCCCCTTAGTAACCCATATACTAGTCCCCTATCTAATCCCGTATATAACCACCTGTTAAGGAGTTAAGGCCCTAAGCCCTTAACCCTAAACCCTAAACCCTAGATAATCCCCATATAACCCTACCTAATCCCCTATATAACCCCTTTAAAGAGTTTAGACTATGGCTCAGCGAACCCCCCTATATAACCCTAAGCCCTAAACCCCTAAAACTATGGCTCACATGGCATGACCTATCCAAGCCAGAATCCACCAGCCCTGAACACCACACCTTGTTCTTCTTGCCATAGGTGACAACAACTTGTCGGGAAAAGCTCTCCTGTGAACAGGGTTTAGGATTTAGGGCTTAGGGTTTAGGGTTTAGGGTTTAGCAGGACACAGCTCAACATGACTTGTCCATGAGCATCGCCCCAAGAATGGAGGATCAAACAGCAACTGGAATGGCAAATCAGGTTGAAACTACGATACAAATACCGACCTTTGGCTTCAGCCGGAGGCTCTTAAAGGATATGTATGTATATATACAAAAAGACTCTATATATATATATGTGTGTGTATATATATATATATAGAGGGCTTACTTACGGGTATTGCCGAAACAATGGATTGTACGGTGGTTTATAGGGCTCATCAACTGCAAAATCCTACTGCTAGCCCAAGTGGGTTAAAATGGGAATGTCTCAAAAGGGGGTCTAGGGACTCTGGGGATATCTTCTTTCTGAACTATGAGGAAATCATGGGTGGGGCTTCTTACTAGGGATTCTGTAGGGATTTGTTTGGAGAACACACAGGAATACATACAGCCTCCAAACGATGATGCCACCAGCTGGGGGATGTCTGACAGTAGTGGCTGTTCCAAGTTCAAACCAACAGCGCGAGGACACTTGTGATAGTTCAGCTATGTTCAGCTCATTTTCAATTATCTGTTCCATTTGATTATACATTATCAGCATGACATCCCTACATATCCCGTACATGACGTGCGATAATAATACGGTAGCTTCCAGTTCATTTTCCGTCTTCTTTATTCGTGACAATGCGTCGAGTAGGTTGGTTTACCTCAATACAAGCAAGAGCTGATTGGTTTCAACTCCGGTCCTTCGTCTCAATGCAGTCGCTGTCTGCGCCTTGGAATCTTTGAATGAGTTCAGCTTGAGGCCTGCTGCTACGTTTAAGGTCGCCTGCCATGCAGGCAGGTGAAAATTGCAATGTCAGTCTACTTCGACATGATGGCCGAGCCTTATCTGCACTACCTTTGCTGAGCGTCGTTCACAAATCTTCAGCTACTGCCACTACCCCTAGCCTTCTTTGTATCACACCATATCACACCGCTTGCGTTGCTGCTGCCACCGCGTTGCTGCACCAAACGAAGCTCTTCGAGTTGGTGCGACGGTGAAAGGTAACTTCCTGACAGGAATCCATCTGCCAGGTGTGTTCCAGATTTGGTTGGAGGAGAACTCTGCTGTCTTACCTCGTGTTGGTTCAGCTTACATGCTACGACTCCGAAATCCGAGAATAGAGCAGCCACCGCAGACGCGCATCATCAGTGTGCTCATGCACCCACAACACAAATGTAGACTTCAGGCTTGAAGAGATAACTGGCCTGTGAGTCAGTAGTTCCAGACAGAGTCAGGCCATCTTCAGATAGCTTCAGCGATATGTCCTGCCAATCTTCACGGTGTTTTCTTAGGCTTCTGCCATCACACAGGCTCAAAGTCTCCTGGAGATCAGGTTCAGTCCCAGAGCCGACCGAATCCTCGGACTGTACTCTGCTAAAACCCTAAACCCTAAGCATTATCCCAATATAAGCCCAATATAAGCCCAATATAGCCCTAACATTACCCCAATGGGTAGTGACTGTATACTGCTATGCAACGTATTTGAGCACAGCAAGAGCCACGCCTCTTGACCTTCTTCCGTGGCACGACCAGTCAATGTCTGCGATGTCTCCTAGTTCAGGGCGGAAGCCGGAAGGCAGCTTTGTAATGAAGATGTCAGCAGCTGAGCAAGCGTTGGATGTAGCATGCTGAAATATGCTGGACTGGGCACTCGGCTTCATAGGAACCCTCCAGTCGCTTGCATATGGATGACATTCCACTGCCTAAGCTGTTAGGATCATGGGTCCTTTGTTGGAGGCCGACCACATAATCCGCCAAGGCTCGAGGCAAGGGGCGTTTGGATCTAAGGCCGGAAGTCAGGCATGTATTCGCACGACCTGAAGCCCCTCCCAGGACGCCCCACCACCAACGCTGGGGCCCATCAGTTCTTTATTGCAAGGTTTAAAGTGATTTCGGAGATTTTGTCCGTGGGCCTGGGCCGTTCGTCGCATTGCACCTCCGAAAAGCCCCCAATGCCGAGGAGTTGCTTCCACCTGAAGCTACCCTCAAATCTGGAGAAGGAGCTCGTACGTAAGCGTGATAAGACGAGGCCAGGAAACAAAACCAGAGCACTTCAGAAAGCATCCCCATTGTTTCCAGCAGAAGCCATGACAAGCAGCCACGCCTAGACCCTTCAGTGCCGTCCTTCAATCCCTTCTTCAAGAGTTATTGAACCATGCCAACAAAGCAACTCCTAGTATCCCCCTTGATAACCCCTGTAAAGTATTATAGGCTACAATATGTTCCCTAACATAGCCCCCATTCATGATCAAACAACGTAATGCGATGCAGGTGACGAGAGATCCAGACATCTGCGGCAACTATGCCGGAATCAGACTTTGAGTGGATGTCGAGCAGGCAGCGGATGCTGTCAGATCTGCTACACCACCTTCAGCGGATAGCTTCGTGAATCTGATGTAAAGGCAGGCTCACGACCAAAAGTGGATCATTCATACAGCTTCAAGATCCCAACTTGGAATGCATTGGAATGCTATTGCTCGCAGCAGAGTTGCAGTACTGAACAGCCAGCGCTCTATTTAGCAGAAACACCACAAACCTCAAGCCTTCCAACGAGGTCCCGTGGCTGCGAAACCTGCCGCAAATTCAGCTTGGCATCAGCAGGACAACCGTGGAGAGGGAAGGAGCTCAGTTGAACTGACAAACTCCCTAGATGACTGCTTCATTCATGTCGACTGCCCATTCCCCAATACAGGCTCCGACAGAAGACACACTGAATTGCTTGGCCCTCTATGCATGCTGTGTTGACAGCTTAGAATGAAAAAGCTCGCCCTGGGCTCCTGTTCGTTGTGCAGGCATTCGAGAGTCCAAGCTAGATGTGCTGTACAGAAAGCAATCTCCCGTGGTGCGGGCCGTATCCTGAGCCGCTAATACTGGGCCCAGAGGCATGTCCTCCTCTTGACCCTTGATTGTTGCTAACATAAGCATTCAAAGAGAAGGCAAGATATCGATCAGGGGCCAAGAGGAGGGTTGTGCGATCAATGTGCTCAGGTGACCGTGAAACTTGTTAACTCCAGAGTGGAGCTGAGCCCAGCCGGCAACGTGAAAACTTCCATCACCGGATCCTTGGGCACACCGTTGTTGATCTGTTGTATGATCACGGTACCTCTTGATGCACCCATGGAGCCTGAGCTAAAATACTTGACGCCAATCCGGTAGGTGCCCTTCTTCTCTCCAACTACTACTACCTCGGGACCCAAGCCCTGCGTCTGATCGCTGTAAAGCTCTAGACCCCAGCCAGTGTTCCTCCGACCATAGTAGCATTCTTCTCCGTTCGGGTCTATGACATGCAGGTCAACATCATTCGCATCTGTCAGCCAGGAGAGCGTAATTCGAAGTCCAATGTGAGAACCGTCATGGGGCTGCACGGAGGAAAGCACATCTTTAGACAGCTTGTCAAAGAGTGGTTTATCTGTGGCCTCAATAGCCCGAAGAAACAGCGCGGCCTCTTCGCGTAGCACTCGCTGAACATCGCCGTAGCGCTGATGGAATTCGGTTTGCAGCCCAGAGGCATAGGCGCTTGCAGCTGCAGCAAAGTCTCCCTGGCGCCAGGCCGCTATCGCCAAAGCCCGGTAAGTGTTCACGTTGTCGTTTCGTTCATCCAGCGAGCGCTGGGCAAAGCGCCTCGCGTACGCCGCGGCTTCGGAGGAGTCCAAGGTGAGCGCCAGCCAGGCGGATCGCAGAAGCTGCTCCGAATCTCGTGGCCGAACCTCTGCGATGGACGTGGCTGCACGCAGTGCAAGAGAAGCTTGGCCCAGGTGCTTCCCGGCTTTGCTCATGTACTCAAACGCTAAGCCGTTGGTTGGGTCCCAAGTGATCCACGTTGCACAAAAATCGCGCAAGTCCTCAGCGCGGCGCTTTGACCACAAGGCCCCTGCGTAGCTGGATGCAACCTCACGATTTCGGTCTTTGGGAGGCCCATCTTTGTACTTCTCGTTGAGAAGCTTGTCTGCTTGTGCCATGGGGCTGGACCATTGCGCACTCGCTGGCTGCAAGATGAAGAAGGCAAGGAGCAAGAGGAGTAATCGACCGTTGCCGGAGCCTCTGGCACCAGCACTGGCCCCTGAAACGCGATCTTCAAATTGAGCTCCTGCGTCCTCTGCTGAGAAGATGTCTTCCGGCTGCGAGGGGTCCAGATTGCAACTGTCGTCAGGAGACTCGCAGACCGTATCGTTTGATCGGTTGGATGCACCTGGCTCTGGTGTGGGTAAGTCCCCCGCAGGGATTGGAGTAGGCAGCGCTGGAAGTTTGACAGCAGATCGTGCCTGGAGCTGCACCCCAGAGTCTGTCACAACCAAAAGGGGAGACAGACGATCCTGAGGTATCCCGTAACGAACATAATCCTCATCTGTCTCCAGCACGAGTAAAGCCGTGTGAGGAGTCATTACACGACTCGTCTCTGAAAGCTCTACCATCTCAGACTCGATGTCGGAAGCTGCTTCGGCGCTCAGCGCCAGCTGACGCTGCGATTCCAAGAGATCCAAACGAGCTTTGGCGGCCTCCCGGGAGAGCAAAGAGCTGAAGGAGGCAGCAGAGGCCTGGACAGCCCCCGCAGACACGTTTGCCCCAGCAATGCGAAGCTCTGGCGCTTGCACTTGCACTCCTGTCTGCCCTCCACTGAAGACGATGACTTCATCTCCACTTTGCAGATCAAAAAATGTTTCCGGCCAAACCCAGCCACTGGGAACGGAAGCAGTGGCAGTTTTCCCAAGTGGCTCGCTGAGGTCCTGCCATGCTTTGGCAGCGACGGAAGGCACATCCTTGGAGGTCAGGGGGATCTGTACCACCCGTCCACCTCCGGCCGATGCCATCGCACGGCCGACTGAGCTGTCGTACTTTGCACCGATGACGCCCAGCGAAACCACCCGGTTCTCTGAGGCCTCCAGAAGCTGAGCAAGCCTTGGCTCCATACCATAAGTATGTATCTAAACCGAGCAGAGACTAAGTAGAAGTTATTCTAGAAAATACAGCCTGGCCCACTGACCTGCATCTAAGCTTCTTCATTGCAGCCCTCTCATTGGCTGTGGCAATGAAGTCGCTCAGAACCAGCACGCCCACGGTCTCGCCAGATTGCGCACTAACATTTGTTTGTATGTGCGTGAAAAGCAGCTCCAAATCGGTGGCTCCAAGTGGGTAGCGCGAGTGGAGGGCTGCTTGGACGCTGCTTCCGAGACCACTATCCTTTGGACCAAGCGGCCTGATCTCGGCCACCTCAATGTCAAATGCGAACACCCTGACATCCACCGATGGCATGGCATCCAACAAGGCCGCTATAAGGGGAGTTCGCACAACGGAAGAGTCTGCAGTTGAGGCAGATGTGTCCACGTAAACGATCCAGCTAGAAGGTGAAAAAGGCACTCTGGTGGGCTCGGCTGTGTCATCGCCAACAACAAAGGACGTCACAAGATGCCCGCCGTCGACTGCAAAGGACTTGCTTGCAACGTTGGGGTCCCAAACCTCCGGCATGGATGGCGGACACAGGACAGGAGGTGGCACAGGGCAGGATATCAGTGCACTTACGACGGCATCAGCTACCACTAGACCTTACAAGAAAACCTGATGGGACCCAAGCTGGCAGAATTATTTGCAAATGGCTTGGAAAGCAAAACCTCCAGGATTGCATCGCTGCCAGGCACCACCGCCCACAGCTCTCCTGAAAACCGGAGGAGTCCGCCGTCTTCGACACCGCTGACTTGCCCCACTTCTGGCAGAGTACAGTTGGCACTTAAGCCAGTCCCACTCAATGTCTGTGTCACAGCAGTAAACGTGAGGTGCTTGATCTCCGGCAAGCCAGCCATTGGGATTTGCAGGCGGCAATATGTCTGTTTAGCTGGGATGGTGATGGTGTAGGAGAGTATCAAGCGAACCAATGCACGAGGCGCAATGGGGAACACTCTGGCCGTGAAGATGTTGCCCTGACCACGGAACGGGGTCTGATGCAACAGACGTGGAATGAATGCCGTGTTTCATAGCAAAGGTGGAATTCATCCTCAATCGAGTATCGAGTGTGTAACGGGGGTAGTTTAACTATAGCAGGTTGCAATGGCAAGGCTGAGGGCAACGTAAGCGCGGCTTTGCTATGTGCACTTCGCTGATCTCATAGTCCCCCCTACGCAGACCCACCAATATCCCGGCATAGCTTTGCAGCAGCACAACTCAATCAATCCTGGACAACAAGTGCACAGTAAGTTAGCCAGGGCCGGTGAACTGCACCTAACCATGAACCCCAAAGCATCAAGGCTTACCTGGCTCTGCTCTAGGAGGGCTGGATCCCGTGCTTGGTGCAAGATCTCCCTGTAGACACGCTGTGCTTTGGATCTGTTCACCACTTCTCCCTCCATGAGAACGTCGCCGATCTGCATGGCAAAGCGGCTTGGCATTGCAGGACCATCTGCTCCCATAGGCAAGGCGAAAGAGAAGCGGCCTCGCCACCCCAACCCCCAAGAATGCCTACAAGGACTCTTGTCCGTTGAGATGTTTCTGCCTGGGGTTTCATGTTTCTTTCGAAGAAAGCTACAATTTCAGACCTGCGAGTTGCTCAAGGGATTCTTGGAGGGGGCTCAAGAAGGACCGAACCCCATTCCCCCACATGAGCCATACTCTAAACTCCTAGCATCCCCCTTAATAAGCTCTGTAGTACTCCCCTATATAATCCCCTTTACAAACCCCCTTCCAGGAGTTTAGATTGTCTTGTATAATCACTGCGAAATTGGCGATTCTCCCAAGTTCCATGCGCAGCAACGCCTCTCTCTCTCACTTGAAAGCAGCCCGGACGAAAGCTAGATCATAGAAGACAGCCGGACACAGTTCTTTTTGCACATGGACCCCTGCCATCATGCCCAATGAAGTCCCACGCGCGCACGGCGCAGGCATTGTCTTGGCATAGGCAAAAGAGTTTGGAAGCTTGTTTGGTGGGCTTCCATGCCTGCACCCTACCCCTCATAGACCACCAAATTTTCCCACACTCCGTTTTCTTTTCCATGCTCTTCTTCATGTGATTCCCCGTTGCTACAATACAATGTGTGTATATCCCTATCTAATCTGTGTATAATCCCCTCTCTTGTGTCGCACACGGCCCCTGTGCAGGTACAACCACTCGGGCAACACTCAATCAGCATGCACAAGAAATCCATGTGATCTAGCTTTCGTCCGCACACATTTAAAGAAGAACGATAGATGGGGGGTCCAGAAGTGGGGGGGGGCCTTCAGCTCAGGGTGGGGGCCCCCCTAACCGCTCGCAGATTTTCTTCCCGAAAGGCCCAAGGTGGGTCGCCCAATATATAATGCATCTAGATTTAGGTGGATGGGGGATGATGGGGGGGTGGGAAGGTAAACAGAAACTCTCGCAAGCTAAGGAGCTAGCTTTCGTGATCTCTACGTTCTTTTACAGACTCAGCCTGCCCCTACTTCTCGGCGTAGCAGTCCATCTCCAAGGCTGGATTTATGGGTACGAGGATGCATTTCTTAGGGAGCCTTGGGAGATGGGAATACAAGGCTCAAGTTCCGTGTTTGGTGACGACACTAAGGCTCTTTGTGAGCACTACTAGTATGAAAGTAAAAACGCTAGCACAGCTAACACCACACACGCACACACTCTGAGCTCGTGGCCCTCCATGACGCGATTTTCGGGATTCTGAAAGACCATCTCATTCTCAACCATGGCAAACGGTCCAAGCAGAGCTGTGCTTACGGCCAGCCGAAGAAAGATCAGCTCCTGCATCGAGATTGTTGGCACATTTCAGCTTTCAAAATGCACATGGGTTACAGTCAAAATCTCCCAGATGATTTTTCTGGACGTGGGGTCCTACTAGGGGACATATTAGGGACTAAACTAAACTATCGAGGGACCGCATGTCCAGCCTTGATGGTCCTTCCGTAAACCCAATATTGACAGTAGCTCACGCATGCGCTTTAGGTATACCGGGCCCAGGGTTCAACTTCAACAAGCAGGCCATGACGAACAGCTAGAGGTCAAGACCATCCCCAAAACCCAATATTGGGGTAATATAGTACTATTACGGTAATATAGTAATATGGGGGAAATACAGTAATATATAGGGGTAATATAGTAATAGTGGGGTAATATAGTAATATAGAGGTAGTATATGAACATATGTGTAATACAGTAATCTCCGGTAACATAATAATTGTGGGGTAATATTGTAATATTGGGGTTGCATAAACTCTGAAAGACGATTGGAATACTCACTTGGATGAGTTGGCCAGTCACAGGCGGGCCGTTGACCGCAAACCCGACCAAAACTGGTTCCACATGAATGGAATAAATCTTATTGGTTCTTAGTAGGGAATACTTGGAGGGTCAGGGGGACTTAGTAAGTAGGTGAATAATGGGGATATTTAGGGTTACTATATGGGTTATGGGGGTTATTAACCTGCATACTACGTCCCCCTGACCCTCCAAGCAAGGAAATACAGTCCCTACATAATATATTCCCTTCTTCCCTTCTCAGATCCAGTAAGAAATGAAAGGTTCCAAACTGATGACCACTTCTTGTTATATTTTAAGCCGTACATAAAGGGGAACCATCTTTGACAAGCTACAAACGTTCTTTGTGCTTGTTGCACCCCCAGTTTCTGCAACGCTCTGCTTGGTTTTTTCTCTGAATAAGATAGTGGTTTCCGTTTCCTTCCCCTTTTACCTATCTAAGCCTGATACATCCCCGTGTTACCCTTTATACAACACTTACGCAACCGCCGAGCTATCTAAGTGTCTAGAAAGATAACGGGAATTCCCAGTCCTGTCCCTCCGGATTTTGCAGAGACACTGCCGGGCCAGTAGCCGCACATAGCGGCAAGAGGCATGCCAAGGCCCTCCACATCCTACCGATCGCCCTCACTTCGGGAGGACTACACAGGGGGCCCCAAAAACGCCTGCTGGACAGGGCGCGCCACATGCAGCAACTGCATACTGAAGTTGTCTTTTATCACTTCGGCCCTGTAGAACCAGGCCTCATCAGACGAGGCTTCCTGAAGTGGCCAAAACATCTCGTTCCTGCCAGCAGCATCTGTGACAGTTCGCATATCAGCTGCGCAAGGCAAAGGCCTTGCGACATCCATGTCATCCAGCAGGAGGCGTCGCAGCGTGCCAGGTCTCCTGAGAAACTAATCACTGGAAAGTAACAAGTCGTGATTCAGTGCGCTAGATGCTGCCTCTCCACCACAGTTCCTGGAACATCTGGCAGACAGCTCAGAAAGCCTCACCAACAAGCCACAGCATCGCATCGTGGGGCACCCTGACCGCCGGCACACTGCAACTAAGAGGCAGCTGCTCGAAAGCATGGCTGCAGCGCGAGCACCGGGACCAGCGGACTGCCAGGCCAAGCGTGGCTCACTGAGCCCAAGGACCGCAGAGCCCTCGCCTAAGAACAATCAAATGAATCGACTCAGAAACCTCTGATCGCGGCCACGCAAGTGCCGCTCAAGCCCAGTTGCTGTGGAGGTTCAAGACATGCACCGCGATGCCAGTGCTGTTTTCCTGCAACAACAGCTGCCTCTCTGACCTAGCTTTCTTGTCAAAGCCCCGTGACATGGGACTCTGGCAATCGCGTTCCTTGAGCACCCTGGGTCCCAAGGATAGAAGTTGCTCAGTCATCTCTTGGCAACTCTGATTCCGCACCACAGCCTTGGATGCACACGAGCCAAACTGACATTTGCCACAGCTCGAACTTGGGTGTCACCCTAATTTGCGGGCAACAGGCTACAGAAGTGGCTTTTGAAAGCCCGAGGCTTTCCAGTAGTCGGCCTTGAGCAAACCTGACCACCTTAGCTGCGTAGTTTGCTGAACCACTGTAACGGCCATGATAATCACTACAATGCTAATTATGACCGTTGCTAACAGTACTAGTCGTACGATGTGTTTTGATGTAATCCTCTCCACGCTGAGGGCCGCACCTGAGACCAAGCTTCTGCGGCCGTTGGTACACGACAGAATGGCTCTTGCAGTGCTTTCTGCGTTGCGAGCTTCGCCCACTCGGCTTTGAAGGATGAGGCCTCAGCTGTCCACTGTGCAGCTGATGTTGGGTGCTGTTTTTGCTGCTTACTTTGCTCTCAAGACACCCCATGCTTTCGAAAAATGTGGTCCTTGTCGCTGCTGGCCTGCCCACAGAGCACCTGACCGAAGCATGACATGATGACATGTCACAACACAATCACAACTCAGGATCATCAGACATCATCAGACCATTTGTGCAGCTGGGGAGCTTCCATAAGTGCCTCGACATCATCCTCAGGGACGTTCCAGGCCAGCAGAGCTGGCTTGAATGCGTCCCGGTGAACCCGGCCTGACCGAGACCCAGGATTCCATTCGCCTTTCAAAGGACCTCAACAACAACTCGCGCCTTTCAACTCCAACGCTGCCTTCCAGCCGCCCCGAGGCGGCTCCATGCAGGGGGTGTTGCTCGCGCTGCTGAGGTGCACAGTCTTCGCTTCTGCGCGGAGCGCGAAGCCAGACATGTCGTCCTTGTCGTTCATCTTCCAGGATGTGTCCTCACTTACAAGCACCATACTAGTGTCTGCATTCAGACCTGAAACCACAGCGTCCTCCGTGCTGTAGTAGATGACAGCGCCCGACGAAGACCTGTAGAGGGAGCGCTTGTTATGTCGCCCGGACCACTTGTAGGTTCCGCTGCAGCGGCCAGCGTTGTGAACCTCCAGAAAGCAGAAAGGCAGAGAGGGGCCGGGGGAAAGGCGGCGAATAGGCACAGGCTCCTGCCTGCACGGTCCAGCAGCGTGCCTTCTGCTTGTACTTCCGGGCTGCGACCAGGCGTAGCACGTGCCGCTTGAGGCTTACCTCGCCGTGGATCTGGGCTTCCTGGGAGACAATTCATGAAGAACAGTGCTTCAGAAGGTTTCGGATCCCCTCTTCATCCTTGTAGATGGATAGCACGCGGGAGTCCCCCACAGCGGGGCAGTCGACACGGATCCGCCCCTGTCCGGCCCCAGGCCAGGTCGCCCACTTGTAGGACTTCCTGAGCTCTCTGTAGGACTTCCCCCTGCCATGCCAAAAAAAAACGCTTACTGAACAAGAAGCCAACTTCTGTGTTGAAGCCAGCCCAAGCTCGGAGCAGGAAACTTGAAATCTGGGCCAAATTGGAAGGAAGCTCGGCCTTTCACGGAAATCGCTGGGTAGAGCCCCTCGTGGAAGCAGGGCATGTCCTCTTCCAGAACCTGTGGCTTCCAAGGTTCACTCCAAGCTCCGTTCGAAGCAAAGCAAATGGCGCCCAGGTTGAAGTCTACAACAACACCCACCACCACAGTCTCGGCCAGCACCTGCTCGCCCTCGTCGTCATAGTAGACGTCTGAATCCTTCTTCTTCCATGAGACACCCTCCCAGGAACACAGAGGCCCACCCTTGAGACAGGCACCTCAGGGTCCCCGTTGCTCCAAAAAAATGTGCTTGTGCTGCTTTCGGCAGACCATCACGATAGGGACCCACCTCCCTTGCTGGGGGGTGCTGAAAAACTACCATGCATCACTTCCGAGGCACCGTGCATCCCATCAACCCCGCAGCTGCACTCGTCATCGCCGATACCGCTGCTGGACTGGACCCCTAGGTTCTGATGAGTGACGAGTGTCCTCTAGTGTCCATCATGGACTTTTTAAGAATGTTTCCATTTTATTTTCCATTATCCCCATATTACCCCATTATAACCCCAATATACTACAGTAGTTGCCATCTTATTTTCCATTATCTCCCGTTGCAACCGAGGCTCCTGGGGTACACTGGAACTGGTCGCTGGCGAAGCCAACTTGTGGCAAGCTGCAACCCTCGATCAGCTCCACCTCGAAGAAGAAGCAGCCTTGCCAGGCCAAGGCTGAGATAATGGAACATAAAATGGAAACTACTATAGTATATTGGGGTTATAATGGGGTAATATTGGGATAATGGAAAATAAGATGGAAACTACTATTGGGATCCTTTCTACTCCTTGGCTGCTGCAACCAGGCCTTCCTTGCGCTTGAGCTGAGGGAAGCCAAAAGTCACCCACTCCTGTGTGGGATCCTCAGTGCCACCTGGAGTCACATCAGGCAGAAACAAACCAACCCCATTATAACCCCAATATACCCCAATATACTATAGCAGTCTCCATTTTATTTTCCATTATCCCAATATTACCCCATTATAACCACTAAAACGGCACCTGGATCTGTGGATCCGTTACTTTTCGGGCGCCTCGCAGCAGCCTCGGAGCCTCCGAGCTGGGGCGCGCAGGGGGCGCTGTGGCCACGTCCACCAGCTTGTGGATCTCCTCGTCTTCATACTCCTCCAGCACCTAATCGCAAGGCATCACACCATGCAGAGCGCACGGCGAGGCAGCGAGATTAACAACATCTGCACGCGTCAGGCACATGGGCATACTTGTCGAGGACTGCCAGTCTGGAGCCTCACCGAAGCATCCAAAAGTTGTTCATAAGAATGGAAGTGTGCATGGCTGACGCGATGCCTGGCCTTCAATTCCTCCAGAATCCTCCGGAGCAAACGTGCAGCGGAGGCGGACATCCTTGAGAACCAGGTAGGAATCGCCATACTGCAGGGCAGGCTTGCAACCTTCGAAGTCATTGGTGACCTCATGCAGCCAGAACATCATCAACAAGTACCGTTGAAAAGGTACCATGGAGAAAAAACATAAAACCTCCGGTCCATGCACATCAAAACAAATCAGGCTTTACTTAGACGCTACAGTGCTTCAAGTGGCATTCAGAGCTCCGTACTTGCATCGTTCAAAAGGCTTCGCATCATCGTAAGCATCTCCAAAGAGATCTCGCTCCCAATGTATGCGTGTTGCATTTCCTGCAAGCACAGAGCAGCCTGCCTTTTTAGGCGAGCACCACAGCAGCACAAGCTCTTCTTTTTGCCTCTTCTTCTTGCCGAGGGGCCTTCATCTATGGCTCCGAACGATGTCTTTGTCTCAAACTGACTCCTGCAACACGTTCTTATTGTGCGTGATGCATTGGAGATCAGCTGGAGCGACCTCACTTTCTTCTCACACCGTGAAGGATGGAGTACTTTGTATTATATGATATAATGTGTTTGGATGGAGTCCTGTAGTACTCGTCTGACTCTAAGAAACGTCCCACTGTGTCGATGTTGACGTGGATGATGACCGGAGCCAGATCTTGGATCCAGCTCAAACAAGCCTCGGACAGGTTCTGAAGGCAGGGCTGCAGGATGCTGCAGGCTTCCTGGTATCCACGGCATCCCGCCTGCAGCTCCTTGTCGCTGAATCCCATCTTCTCAAAGCGCGCCAGGACTCGCTTCTCAGCCTCCTACCACGCTAAAAGAGCAATCCACCACTCATGGCTGGTGAAGAGGCACCGATAGAGCTGCTAGCTCTCCTGGTGGCTCGCTGTGGCATGGGCTCGGACCTGTGCCAGAGCCCGGCGCTGGCAGCTTGTGAGACGACACACCTAGGCGCAGCATGGCGCAGCACGTTGCATGAGAAGCTGACCTTGAGGCAGAGTGTGAGGCCATAAGAGGCGTCCCGCCTCCCGCATCTCTGAAGCCAGAAAAATGGACTCCCAGAAGGGTTGGTCCTCGTCGTGGATGCCCACCTGGCCGGGAGGACACCGCACGAGCTTTAGCCTAAACTCCTAGTAACCCCTGTAATAATCCCTTGTACAATCCCCTATCTTCACCCCTTGAAAGGAGTTTAGACTAACTACAGTACACATCGCATTTCCCAGATCAGCACTGGCTACGCGCCTCCCGAAGAGCTGCGGCCAGCTCGGCATCCTCCTCGGTGCTCACGATCCAATGTGCTGGAACGCAGGTCTTGCGACCACTCCTCTGCAAATATTGGGGCAATCTTGGGGATATGTAGGGATAATGGAAAAGAAAATGGAAACTGCAATAATGGGGTTCTATACAGTTTAGGGTTTCGGGGGTTTACCGTAACTGGCTTAGGTGGAATTCTTGCTCTGGGTGTGTGGTTGGTTCTTATCCCTCCTATAATCCTCCTATGCTTTTGGAGCCTATTGCTTTTTGAGCCGCTGGCTTGTCCTTGCAGCTTCCTTCAAAAACGTACCAAATACCAGATTCCACGTATTGGGCATGGACAGTTCGACATTGCAACCCCTTTTGGGCCCTCTGACCTCAGGAACTCCAGCTGAACCTCCAGCTGAGAAGGGCAGGCCATGCCCTCTTCTCCTTTGAAGTGCACCCCAATGACGATTGCCTCCTCCGGCTCTTCCGACTTCTTGCGGTCAGGCTTGGTGCCTTCCTAAGTAAGTCTATGTGAGCCATAGTCTAAACTCCTGAAAAGGGGGATTATATAGTGGAATATATAGGGGACTATTATAGGGGTTACTAAGGGGGATACTAGGAGTTTAGACAGTGGCTCATGTATTGGCCTCAGCTTGAGGTGGAGACATGCATCCGAGGGGCGTAGAAATGGCTTCGTACACGGGCTCCCACGGCCACACCAGCCAGGCTCGTGGCATCGCGGCGGCTGCTTGCGACCTCGGCAGGCCAACATCTGTAGAAAACCTGGAAAATCGTGACGTGCGGCCTGCTGCCGGCGTTGCTCGAAAAGGCGCTGCACCTGGCAAGTGCATGATATAAAGCTCTGAGAAAAAAAAGGGCCACAGAGAGAGAGAGAGAGAGAGAGAGAGCGAGAGAAAAGATATAGAGACAGGAGCACGATCGCAAGAGGGAGAGAAAGATAAAGATCGAAAGAAGGAACAAGCAAGTTGAGGGATTGCTGGATGCTTCTGAGGGACACCGCCCATTCGTCCCACGAAATCGTGGAATTCGTTCAGGCTGATGCTGCCTGAGCAGAGACAAGAGCACGATGAGCACGGAGCTCCGAACGGTCTCAGAGGACGGTCTCAGTCTCGGACCGCTTTCGTCATGGTCCAAGCTCCTCGGGTCCACGTCGAAGCCAAGGTAGGCGGCCAAGCGTGCTAACTCGTCGTCATCTAAAAGTTCGGATCGATCCACATCGAAGCGCCGGAAGGCAGTATCAATGCGCCGCCGATCCAAATCGAGACCTCATCACCGGGTCGACTACAGCAGATCAACCACATTCTCATAATGTTCTCTCACACCTGGAAACTCCCCTTTCGTTGATTTGGCACGTCATGAAGGTTTGGGGGAAGGACTCTGATGCTGCTGAGACGCCACGTGTGATCCGTGCCAGACATGCCTGAGATTCTTCAGGGCTCTGCTCATACCTTGGTCAATACATATCACTACCCGTTCCCAACGCCTTCGCCTCCTCAGGGTCGCTGAGCAAAACCTGAGCACGGTTGTGAGCAGCGCTTGATCCGTAATGTTAACTTCACATTAGTGACCCAACCTACAATTGTAAGATCTCGCCGCAGGAACAAAAATGTCACTAGGCCCTCAATGAGAACAATCCTGGCAAGTTGGCCGGGAATCTTATAATTGTTGTACTTACATGTTCATCGATATTAGATAGATTGTTCCACCAGAACTTTTGGCGTTGTTTTTCAGGAGCCCCAATGGAGATAGATCAATCGAGTTTGGGGGGGTTTCATGCGAATTCAACATTATACTATACTGCTTGCTAAGCCCTGGTGCCACACACGCCTCATGTGTGCTATAATTCCTTTTGGCAACAAGTAGCCTGTGCACAGCGGCTCACCCAGCAGTGGAGAGGATGTCTGCACTTAGCCGTCGCGGGATTCAAGAACGTGTGCTTCTTCACCAGGGCCTGTTCAGTACCCCAGGCGCCCCCCAAGCAGAGGAGCGAAACACTGAACAAGCGCATGGGATGATCACAGGCCTTCAGCTCGCCTGCGACACCCGCACCAGGACACTCCCCCAGGCTCAGTGCCTACGGCTTGGGGGCTTGCATGGATTGGGCTTGCAAAGCGTATGAACACCAACAAAAGTTAACAAAAGCAACTCAAGCCTGAAGCATCTAGATAGGGCAAGAAACCGCATCTGCCGCAGGAAGCGGGTCTACATAGCTTCGGGGCGTCTCGTTCGTGCTTGCCACTGGTAACGGTGCTGCCATGGCTGTCGCTTTGCTTTGATCAGATGCGGAGGGAGCTTTCGACGCTGCGCTCGCTTCTGCTTTGCTTTCACCAGCGGGCGCCGAAGCTGCTGTTGCTTTGCTTTGATCAGATGCGGAGGGAGCTTTCGACGCTGCGCTCGTTTCTGCTTTGCTTTCACCGGTGGGCGCCGAAGCTGCTTTTGCTTTGCTTTGATCGGATGCGGAGGCAGCTTTCGACGCTGCGCTCGTTTCTGCTTTGCTTTCACCAGCGGGCGCCGAAGCTGCTTTTGCTTTGCTTTGATCGGATGCGGAGGGAGCTTTCGACGCTGCGCTCGCTTCTGCTTTGCTTTCACCAGCGGGCGCCGAAGCTGCTGTTGCTTTGCTTTGATCAGATGCGGAGCGAACTGTCGACGCTGCGCTCGCGTCTGCTTTGCTTTCACCAGCGGACGCCGAAGCTGCTGTTGCTTTGCTTTGATCTGATGCGGAGGAGGGTTTGGGACCCTTGTTTCTATCAACATTGCCATCGTCCGCCAACCAGTCCGACCTGTGCATGCGGGAAGAGTCCATTGACTGCAGTGCCAGAGGCTAGTGGCCTGGCCTGAAATTTTCCAAGTCCACTGCTGGCAGGAGCAAGGCCACAACGTCCATGGCCCCTCGAAGGGAGCATGAGCAAAAGCTACCAAAGACCATTTCTGCTAGCTGAGATTCTTCCTACCCTGCCTGCTTGCACTGCATAGAACAATGCTGGACGGCCAAAGGAATCGGCCTGGTGCATGATTCACGCTTTAGCTTTATATGTTTTACTCAAGGCTCAAGCGCGAAGAAGCCCAAATGACAGAGTTCTCGCCTGGCTTGCGCTGCACCCGCTGTCCAGCAGCAACTGGAGGATATCTGATCTCGACTCATCGTTGGGGTTTCCCATGGCATAGTAGAGCGCATTTCGACCCTGGGAGTCCTGGCGAACTTGCACTTGCCACCTCACATAGACTACATTCCTGAATGCATGCTGCAAGGTTGACATCAAGTCCTGGGCCTTCAGCAGCGTGACATCTGGACTGTTCTGCAGCAGAATGCGGACAACTTCTGGATCGTTGCAACATGCCTCAGATCACGTGCAGCTTCTTGCACGGACGGCAAGGGACACGTTGCCGAATGTTGCCGAGGGACCAGGTGAAAGGCATTCCTGGGCTAGCTTGCAGCACACTTCAGCGTCCAGAAACGCTTTATAAACAAAGTCCAGGCGCCTGCCCTTCTTGTCGCTTTGCCCCGGTCGCGCTCGGTGTTGGAGAAGGCTCCACACCACCGCGCGGTGCCCATGCAAACATGCCATGGCCAGGGCTGTAGCGCCATTGCCTCGCACATGCGGGTTCCTTTGCTGCCCACTAGTTAGGTTGACCCCTAAAACCCGTTGAAAAATATTAGTATATATGGTCCCCTATTAAAGCCATTGGGGAAAATATTAAATATCCCAGGGACCTACCCAGACTAGCTAGACAAGGGCAATGACCCCAGGACCAGGAATCCTTCAGACCCTCAGACTACTGCGAGCTGTCACGTGCTGCTCCTGTTGGAGACCTGCTGAAGAATAACTAGCCGACGTACCATTGGAGCATGAAATACCATGAAAGGTGACAATTTCATCTAGAGAATCTATACTTTTTAGGGATCATATGGATATGACAGAAAGGACAATGGGAACTTCATAATAACAGTATGTATGTATAATATATATATATACATTATATATAATATCATATCGAGATATATACATATTATATATAATACAAAGATGTTGTCTGCCCTGTCCCCCCACTGGGCTCAATGAGCCGCTTCTGCCTTCCACAGCATGGATGTCTGCGCGGCGCTTCAGAAGGGCAGCACACACCTGTCACCGTTAAATATGGTTATAATCCCCCTTAAGTAAATGGAATATAGGGTTTAGGGTTATAGTCCCCCTTAAGTAGATAGAATTTGGGGTATATTATTGGGGTTATATGGGGAGTGCTAGAAAAGAAAATGGAAACTACTATATATTATCATAGGGTAAATATTGGGGTAATAGTCCCCATCGAGTAGATAGAGTATGGCTTTGGGTAAATCATGATAAGATCCGCAGATACTCCATATTCTATCCACTTAAGGGGGACTATAGATGCGCGCAGCGGTCTCTTGCTTCTAGATTGCAGAATAGTCTACATCATTCCAAGAAATTCCACTGTGCCCTTTGGCCTCCACATGACCATCTTTGGCAGCACAGTGAAGTGGCGTACGGCTTCTGTGCTCCCTTGTTTCCAGAAGTTCGGAAAGGGTAAGGCTATCATCTCCCTGGCGCTCTGCTTCTGCAGCATGCTCGAGCACGGCCTGCACCTGCACGGCATCACCTGCAAAGGACACCAAAACAAAACAGCATCCAAAACCCTCGCAGCGAAACTTTCTGTGCCTCGCGCAGCGGCCGCCAGGAGCACTTGGCCCAGAACGAAACCGTCAGCACGCAGTTTTTCAGAGGGAGAAAACTGCCGGCGTCCTGTCACAGATCCCAAGCGTTGAACTTTCATAGTGATGCCTCCAGTGTGCTGTCCTGTGTTCGGATCCCAGGAGACTCTGAAGAGAGGCGAATATGGCGAGAAGTCTCGAGCTTGCGGAGGACGATCTTGCGCCTGCAAGTCCGGCTGCCTGTCTCTGCACGACTTTCGCTTGTTCAGTCTGGCAGACTGACTGTCAACACTCAGCGGGCTGGATGGCCGTGTGGAGGGACTCAGATCAGGCCGCATTGGTGACCTTTGCCTCGTTCGGCTTCCACTTCGACTTCGAGTGGTTTGCCGGTTCCAGAACTTCTGCCACGGGACTTCTCCAGGTGGCGGCAGCCGCCGTGAAGGAGACAGGGACCTGGTAGGGGACCGAGCAGGGTGCGCAGCCTCAAGCCCATCAGCGCTTGCTGGCTCTCGCCGAGCCCCACGCAGCTGTCGTATCAAATCCACTGGAGCCCGTCGCTCAACGCCCGGACCCAGCACCTCGCTGCCCAGGACAGGTATTCCGTCCATTGGTTTATGTACACGAGCTATGGAGGTGTCGTCCAGCCACGTCAGCCACGATCAGTGTGCCATTTGGCATCAAGTATGGAATCAAGCATATGAACTCTGAGCAGGGATGCTGCAGACTGCATGTTGCCGAACAAGTGTGATTTCGGAAACAGGCTTGCCATGCCGTACTCCCATGCTAGCTTTCTTTTTGTTGCGCTGCTAAAGCACAGCCGAGAAGAGAGTCTGACCGCTAATTGCGTGAAAACCAAGCCAAATGACTGCATAACTGGGTAACATGTACGCAGGCAACTAGCGGTAGTGAACTTGCGATCGAATTCATGTGCTACCTCGCCGCGCAGGCGTGTGTCTTCCCAGGTGTGATGCACATGGGCTGGACCCAACGAGCCCCGAACAGCGACCCCTATAATAATATTCTATAATATTCTATAACATTATGGAATACATTATAGTATTCTATAGTACATTATAATATACTATAATATTCTGAAATATACTGTAATATGTCTTTGTCTTGCATTGTAGGGGCAGCATCATACCTCGAAGACCGCACAGGACATCTTCTGAGCACACTGGTTGACACATCTTGAGAATATCGTTGTATATTCTATAATACTATAGAACATTATGGTATACTCTATAATATTATAGAATAATATAGAATATGATAGAATAAAATTACAGTACATTATAGCGCTATCATGATTTATTTAACCTTGGGCTCAGTGCTTCTGAAGGCTGACCTTGCAGCGCATTTACAGGGCTCAGCTGCTGAGCCTTGAGAGGGGTTTAGGGTTTAAGGTTTAGGGGTTTAGGGTTTAGAGTTTTGGAGTTTTGGGGTTTAGGGTTTAGGGTTTAGGGTTTTGAAACTTGAAATCATTGAGGCGGTGTGGCATCGGACCCAGCTCCTTTGGAGCAAAAGGTGCCAACAGGGCTCCTTAAGCCTTCGCTTCACAAACACGTGGCATAGATGGGGCAGTCAGGGCAGTGGAGGCCAGCTGTCCATAGGATAAGCTACTATATTGAGAAAACCATATTGATTACTATACACATATATATATATACCCATTATGGTAGCTTAATTTAAATTCCTGAACAGCAACCCGGTATAGGATGATAAGATCACTCAGAGCCCTGATGGACCTCCGAGGTAGCCAGCGCCTGTGAAACCGCCGCAGTCACTGCACAGAGCAAACGGAGCTTCTCCTCAGGCTGTTTGGGGGTTTATAGGTAGGTAATGTAGGGATAATAACGGGTAACACGGGGAAATGTTGGGATCAGGCTGTTGAAATACCCCAGAAAACTAAAGCCGGAACAAATGCTCCAAACACGTGACTGGTGTAAAACTGAGCTCTCTTCACGTGATAGGAGTGTCTTAGTGACTTAGTACTGGATGACACCGCCTGCACATCCGTTTGTTTGCAGCTTGCTGGTTTGGTCATTGGTGGTGCCTGACCCGCAACTCACTTCCTGAAATTGAGGCTGTTGCCCCATATATCAGAACGACAGGGATCTCTGAACGGGCATCTGCATTAGCACAACCCATGTCTCAACTTCAGATGGGTTGTCCAGTCCTGCTTTGCTCCGGGACTTGTGGCCCCGACCAATCTTCAAAATCCACCATCACCTCAGGTGCCAGTACTGCCAGAGCTCCCAGCCGAAACGTGTTTTGCCGCTGAGACACCTCGAACTGCGCAAACACCGGACGATGATCTGAGCACTGCAGCGCGGGTACCTGGACAACAGTCACCCTGCAGGGGCCGTGACCAAACAAGGCAGGCAGAGCTGGTCAAAACAACCTGGCACCTTACAAATTCCTCAGTGTCCGGATCAGCAGTTTTGTGCGCAAGCGCCCTCATACGGGGTCACAGAGTCGTACGCCAGCGGCTTGATGTGCGGATCCCGTCGCCACAAAATCCGGTCCTAGAGGTGGTTGGAAGTGGGGAGCAGTTCGGAGCAGCTTTCAAGCTCTTCACTGAGCGTCTGTCCGTCCAACTCGGAACGCGCTGCTTCTTGGAAGAATCGTAAACGTCCTCAAGTTGAAGCGTGCTTCAGATATCTCAACATCTTGGAGTGCCTCCCTTCTCGCTTGCCCCCCGCTGCCTCACAGGCTATGGAAACCCTCTTGTTGAGGCCCCTGCCGAGTGCTTGTCAAACTTGTACGTCGGCGGAAAATTGATCTCTGCCTGACATGATCAGCTTTCTGTTGCTCTGCCTCACGTGATTTAAAAGCGAAGTTGTGATGGCTATGTCTTTTCTGCGGCCTTTAGTGCTTGTTCGGTCTTAAGCTTTGGAAGCTTAAGGTCTTCAGGGCCAGGGCTTTGGGAGCTTTAGGATGCTAGGGGGCGTTCAGCGAACGAGGGAAACCAAAGTAGAGGCACACTCAAGAACAACCCCCTCGTCTTCGCCTAACAGTCACAGAAATTGTTTGATTTGATTTGATGCCTAGGGGTCTGTATGGCTGTATGACTATCCTGATCTCCACCATTTCGGTTGTTGTCACCAATGGGGCAGTCGCCCACGAAAGCTGTTCGATACACGCTTCCCAAGCCCAGCGGTAGTGCATCCTGGCAGTAGGACAGGGCGCTGGGCGGGGTTAGCAAATTTACTCAGGTCAGTACCTGAGGCCAGGAAATCAAAGACAAAAGAGCCAACGAAGGATAGCAACAGAAGCAACAAAAACACAATCCCCAAAATGGGGAGACAAAGTCCAGGCATCAAGTCATTCGCAGCCCGCCAATCCTAGAGCATGTACTTTCATTTAGGCTGTTCCTGCTTTTTGGCTTTGCGAGTGGCAAAGACCGCTGGGCGGTGGGTTGGACAATTGTTTGTTACCGAGGGCTGCTTGACAGACTGAGCGTATCCTCAATGATTGATGTTATTGAGACTCTATGGGGTTTTATGCTACCATTCCGTGCTGGCACAAAATTCAGCTGCTCTTTGCAGTCATGAAAGAAAGAGGTTGATGAACATGTTCATAAACGACGAAGCGGTTGCATGCAGCCGCCAACAAATCAACAAACGTCTATTCTTTACAGTCTGTCTCCACCTCCAGTCTTCCTGTGACTTTCTAGGACACTTTGCTGCCATAAACACTGTGATGCTCTTTTGATGCATTGATAAGCACATCCTACTGCGCGGCGGGCATTATAGTGTGAAGCAAAGCCTGCAAGAGATGCAGACATGCAAGTAAGAAGAGCCTCCTCAAATTCTGGCCAGAATCCAACGGGGCTCGCACCACCTAACAGAGTAGGCTGAAGTGTTGCCACTCAGGTCCAAGTTCAGTTTTTGCAACCGAGCCTGGATGGCCTTTCAACAAGGGTAGCAGCTGGTCCTTTGCCAGGCACTTGTCGAACTGCCTCATTGCTTGTCCGCCCTGGACTGTCGCAGAACTGCCCGAGGGTTTGGTGAACAAATTTTCATGCTTGGCATACATGCTTAGAGTGTTGGCCATCAGATTACTGCGACTTGGATTGTTGATGAAACTCTCATTGAGGCCGCCACTTGTCCATGATCCAAGCATCCACTTCGGCTCTGCTGGCGTCCACTCGCGTGTTCAGATCGCCCTGAACAGGTACAGAAATGATGTTGAATGTTCCCCTGCATTCACTTCTCAGAGATTGCTGACAGTTTCACCAGTCTTCAATTCGCATTTCCTTTGCAACACATTGTAAAACAGAAACTTCCAAGCACTGCTGACAAGAGACCATCACGAACACGCGGTCGTATTCCTCATGGACGCCACTTAAATCCTGCAAAAAATTCAGAAGCTCTCGTGCAGCAAGTGCAGTGGAGCGCTTCATGCCAAAACCTGAAGACTCCTAGAAGCTTGGTATCCTACGGACGGGGCGGGCAATGATACACTGACCAAGTCAGTCGAGCTCATGGGCAAACTATGTGCACTATCGCCGTCTTGCTCAAAGGGTTTGCATGTTCAACATTCTGCACTAAAACTTCTGTTGCAATTGTATTACACATAACCGAAATGTCTTCCCCTGTAGCTGGAGAGATCGCCCATCTTCTCATTGTTCGTGTTTTCTGAAGTGGAGCGGATGCGTGGCAGACACGCATTTCCGAGCAGCTCAAAAAAACCTTAAGCCCTCAAAACCTTAACCAGAAACCAGCAAGCTTCACGGATCCATACCAGAAAGCATCCAGCACTCCTTCCGCTTGCGTAGCGGTGAATCTGCAAGGATGCGGTGCAAGTTCTGCGTACGCTCCTGCAGTTTTGGTTTGCGAGAGGTTTTGCATGCTCACGCCCCTACTTCAGAAATTGTTGATTTGGCTCTCCAACGATTTCGACTGTGCCTTCATTTTGTTCGCATGCGCTGCGAGATGGGCGTTCACGAAGAGCATGGTGGTGTTGCCGACTCGGAAAGCCACCTGTCACAATGCGGAGCGAGGAGAAATGTGGCAGGCATTAAACAGCTAGCTCATGCCAGCCTCACCCCCAACCCATCAGTCGTAAAACGCAAGCTCATTGCAGAAGCAAGCCATGCAGAGCGCCCGTGTGCTGTCTTTTCCTGCGCAGGGCCAGCCGAGAGCTCCCCAGCCGACCTTTGGCGAGGCTCACTCCAGGACTTGCCACTTGGCCGTTCATCTATCTCTTCACTTCTTTCTAGCTAGCTGCTTGCCAAGGCACGATGCAGCAGCCGCCTGATATGAAGGTTTGTTTCCTTCGACAACTTGAAAAGATTGTTGCCCGTCCAGCCTTGGAAGGAAAGCGCCGCCGCACCTTGGCCGGTTCCAAACGCTCTCAGAATCATTTGGCATAACGACTGGCTTTCTCCAGGTTGCCTGGTGTCCAGCTGCGCCAGGATCCAAGTCTGAAGTCAGGGAATGTCACAATAGAGCCTTCCTAGAGAGTCTATAGTCCCCCTTAAGTAGATAGACTATGGAGTATATCGTATATGGAGATCTTAGTTTAACATAGCCAAAGCCATATTCTATCTACTGAAGGGGCACTATAACCCTAATATATACCCTGTTAAAATTAGTAGTTTCCATGTTCTTTTCCAGTATCGCCCAATTAACCCCAATGATATACCCCATATTCTATCTACTTCAGGGGGACTAAACCCCTAAACCCTAAACCCTATATTCTATCGACTTAAGGGGATCTATAGGTCTGCATCTTCCTACGTATGGGAACATACAAAAGGCCTGAGTCGCTGCTTGTGGTCATGTCTGCCCAGCGCTTCCGAGGCTTCATGGCCGCAGCCTAGCATTGGTAGGGTTTAGGGTTTAGGGTTTAGGGATTAGTATGACTAGTGTTATTCTTAGTGTTACTATTATTGTTATTATTCTTAGTAATAGTATTAGTATTCTTAACGTTATTGTTGTTATTACTACTCGTATGTTTATTAATAGTACTATTCCCATTCCTTGTATAACTATTGATATAATTGTTATTATCATTATTTCAACAACAATTATTAGCTCCACCACTGACGGCCTGCCAGCTGCTCATGGCGGCAGCTCCATCTGCATCACTGCCCTCCTGTTGGCCCACGGCTAAAGATGCAGGCAAGGAGGTAGCCGGATTGCAAGGTTGCAATGTCTGGACTTTCAGCAGTCCTCGTTGCTCTCAGAAAGCTCATCATCGCGGAACTCGCTTCCACTCCGGTGCCGACTATCGAGATCTGAATCGCTGCCTGGGAGACATCTGCCCCAGCTTGCCAGGCTGTGGCTGCGGCAGAATGCAATCACCGCGTATGCATGTCAACACAACCTTTTGCATCAAAGCCACTGATCTCGTGCCACTTCTTGCCCGAATGAGTAGTGCGCATGGAAGGCACCTCATCCGCAAGCTCGTCCAGCTCCTCCCAAGTGCCCTAAGCTTCCACAAAACCCATTCCATTTCCTGACATAAACCAGTCCTGCCGCAAATCCTCCAGCTCTCCCCTCCGATGCGCTCGAAGGATGCCTGATTAAATGCCGCTTTTGGCTACCAGCATCTGCCAGCACAACCACTCCAAACCGGGCACCTTTGCGGACGCGGGTACGGATACTCTCTGCCTCCATGCAAGGCTGAATTCTCCCAAGTTTGCGAGTGCATCACAGTGCATCGGGACGCCTGCGTCTCCAGAACCTCAGTCATCTCGCCGACCAATCGCTCCAGCTCCCCGGAACGCTTCGCGTTCACCATGCCACGGCGCATGCGCGTAGAGATCTCGCGGAACTGAGCAGCTTTGGCTTCAAACTTTCTCTGCGCCGACTCCATCTCTGCCGCCAGAAATTGTAGCTCGCCGGAGCGCTTCATCTCCAGCAAGCTCTGGAGGGCGCGCTGCTTGGCAGAGAGGCGCCCTTTGGAAGGAAAGCTCTTGGCGTTTTGCGACTGAGCAGCTTCCGCCTCGCTGTCCTGGATACTACCCCCTTAAGAATGGAGAATCAAATGGAAAAGAAAATGGAAAATCAAATGGAAAATCAAATGGAAAAGAAAATGGAAAATCAAATGGAAAATGACATGGAAAATGAAATGGAAGCTACTGTATATGGGGTTATATGGAGAATCAAATGGAAAAGAAAATGGAAAATGACATGGAAACTGGGATTCTATAGGGGATTATAAGGGTTATAGTCTAAACTCCTAGTATCCCCCTTAATAATGGAGAATGAAATGGAAAATGAAATGGAAGCTACTGTATATAGGGTTATATGGGATGTTATCATTATATTACCCCCCTATAATGGAGGATCAAATGGAAAAGCAGAAAATGGAAACCCTAGGTCCCTTTAAGGGGTTTATAGCGGTATTACCCCAATAATCACTGCGCATCACCAAGAGAGAAACTGCTATACCCTCAACTCTATATAACCCATTAGATTCCATTTTCTTTTCCATTATCCCCATATAACCCCAATATACACCCTACTATACTATAGTAGTTTCCATTTTCTTTTCCATTTTCCCCATAAAACCCATTGTAGCAATTTCCACTCTCTTTCCATTCCTTCATTCCCAGCTGATGCCAATGGTAGTTTCCCTAAATAAGGGGACACCACAATAGACCCCAAAATACCATAATCCTTATTATGGGGACCCCCAAAAAGGGTATCCCTAATTTTGGGAAACCCTAAACCCTTTATACCCTTATATAACCCCTATATTATATCCCCTAAAACCCCCAAAAAGGGTATCTCTAATTTTGGGAAACCCTAAACCCTATATACCCGTATATAACCCCTATATTATATCCCCTATAACCCCCAAAAAGGGTATCCCGAATTTTGGGAAACCCTAAACCCTAAATCCTATATACCCTTATATAACCCCTATATTATATCCCCTAGAACCCCCAAAATGGTACCCCTATGCCGCATATGCCTAGCCAAGGCACGGTCTCGGCCTGCACCGCAGCGCCGGTGCTGGCCTGCGACTCCCGCATCCGACGCATCTCCTGCCATTGTCTAGGGTTTTGGGTTTAGGGTTAAGGGTTTTTTGAAACATGGACTGTTTTAAAAGCGGGTAGGTGTTTTCACATTTTTTGGGAAAGACTGCTGGGGAAGACCCTAAACGCCCTACAATCCTAATATATTCTATTGTAGTTTCCAGCTTGATTATTTTCCATGATCCCTAAATAACCCCTATATAATCCCAATATTAAACCCCAAGACCGGGACCAGTCCTCTGCAAAATCCTCCAGCTTCCCTGCCCGCTTCATGCGAAGAAGGCTCTCCAGCGCACGCTGTTTCAACCGCTGGAAGTCATCTGCCTGCCGCTCCACCTGCCAATGCCATGCTGACACGATTGGTCCTTGGAGTCCTGGGCCTGACCTCCTGGGCCAAATCACCTGCCACTTTATGCAGTTCACCCGTTCGATGTGCGGTGAGCATGGCTGCTTTGAACTTCTCCTTGGCAGGCACTGCAGGCCACATTAAAAACACAGGGAGGGATGGCAAGCTAGCGGGTCCTTCAAGTTCTGCAGGTCCGATGCAGAACGCTCCATGTCTTGCTGATCACTTCGCAGCTTCTCCAGCAAGGCATGCAGCTTGCCAGTCCTCCCCAAGGTAGCTTCTATGCTTGCGTCCGCATGAGAAGTCCAAACGCTATATGACTCTATACATGTATTTTCCCTTTTGGTCGTTCCGATTCTGCGCCTGTTTGCTTGCAGAAGGCTCCACAGCGGCGTCTTTCGCTGCGTGCCTTCAGGCTGGGAGACTTGCTGGACATCTTCTGAAGCATGCTTGATGTATCTTGACATGCTCGGGCTGAGAGTCCCACGACTGGGACTGCCGCGTGCTGGCAACAGGTTTGCCTTGTCCTCGCTCAATCTTATGCCAGTAAGTTGTGAAAGGGAGTCTTGCCAGGACAAGGTCAGTAAAACGCCTCTGAGATTACTTCTGATGGTTTTGATGCCGCCAAAGGTCAGACTGCTTCGTGTCCGGGGACGAGCTGCACGGTCGATCATGAGAGGGGCTGCTGGGGAAGACGACATCGTGTAAGCCTGGGGGCACACGCCATCCAAAGAAGCGTGCCATTCAAAAAGACCAGCCCATCCCGCGACCTGCCTTGCATTGCCTTGCCTTCTTCCTGAGCCACCCACCTCCCTGAGCGGATCCAGATCGCGTGGCTGTCACCTGATGCATCTCACGGCATCAAAGGTAAGCCCCGAACTCAACGAAACTGGCGGACCTCTGCGTTCAGAGCGCCATCAGCCTTACTCTCGAAATCACGGCAAAGCCCATGAAGCTCTCCTCGACGATGCGCCCGAAGCAAGCCTGCATGTTGTCGGCACCATTTTCGGAGTCTGACTTGCCCGATACGCTTCGAGGGCCTTGACGCAGACGACTTCGGGTGGTCTCAGCCTACGACAAAGATCACGCTCTAAGATGTGAATGATGGTTCATCGCGCACGCTTGCGATTTCAGGGCCTCCAATTCCCGCAGAAGTGGTGCCAGCTCGTCTAGTTTGGCAGAGACGATGCGAGAAGCTATCTCTGTCAGGTGAGCTTCAGCTGAAAGGAACTTTGCCCGCAGCAAATCAAGCTCCTTCGAGCGAACGATTACCCTACACCGAGTTCAAAGCTTGCGAAAGAAAAGTCCTGCATTAGCAATTGTACCCGCGAAGGCTTGGTCTCTTTCGAGATATCTCCTTCGCTTGTAACATCACCTGCACAAATCGACAGCATGTCTGCCACACAATTCCAGTGGCTTGCAAAGGAATGCTGCCTTCCGCGTCACCAAACGGGCTAAACCTGAACAACTGACAAAAGTGGATGCAGACTGCGAGACAAAAAAAAAGTGGCATCTGGCAAGTGAAGAATTCCCAGCAAAAAAAATGGTTTTCAAACTTGTTGCTGTTGCCCACGGAAAAGGACAGTGACGTTCTCGCAAGCACTAAACTCAAACTCTCTGGCTTTCCGCTCCACAGCAGGAAGTTTGCCTGAAAACCATCTAGTTCGTTCTTCACTGCTACAGCTTTCTTGGCTCTTGCTGCCCGTTTGCAAGTCGTGCTTCTGCAATCTCTGTCCGAGGACGCGGCGCGAGCGATGCTTCACGATCCTGTCCAGGAAGCACAGGCATGCACAGGCCCTGGGCCTTCGCTGAGGCAGGCCACGCCTTCGCGCGCTTCAGGCGTGCATTCTCAACCCGCTCAAGCAGCTGCTTGAAGCTAGAGGCCAGCACCTGCACCTCCACACGCGGACAATACTAACCGCAGCGGGAGGAAAGGTTGCTCTGCCTCCTGGGTGACCGCCTGGGTGGAGGAGTGGAGATGATCCAGCTGCTCTTGCTGCTCTGTGCTCTGAGCATGCAATGCTCCAGCCACTGCTGCCTTCAGCGTTTCCTCATGGAACAGTAGGAAGGCTAAAAGAGCACGGATTGCCACAGTTGCTTGCACTAACCCACCATCCTTCAAAGTCGACATTTCGGCGTTCGCATTACGCATTTCCTGCGGTCATGCAGATTGACACTGGCCTTCCTTGGACATCAAATCAAAATCCATGTAGGCAGCTGCTGAACCACGCCTGCAGGTCAGCACGCAAGGTCTCGAGGATTTGTCGCTCACCTCGATTGCGACGCCACCGCTTCGAGCGCTGCTTCCGAAGCGTCGGACTGCCTAACGGCGGTGACAGGGCAAGACAAACTGCCTGTGCCGCCCACATGAATGCTAGCCTACGTCGTCATCGTCGGCATCAGTGGCACCCTCTGCATGCTCGTCCACCTTCTCAGAACTCGATGAGCGGCTGAAGATTTGGTGAATGTTACCTTTGACAGCCCAGGACAAGGACGCGATATGACGAAATCTGCATTGCTGGGGGCTTGACTTGGAGCCTCCAGACCGGGTGGCCAAAGAGTCTGGCGCAAAGAACTCTCAGTTCGTAGGCCAGAGCTAGGGCTTGGGGCATCTCGGGGCCTCTGCATGCTTGGCCTGGAGGAGGTCCTGTGCAGAGGACACAGGTGCTAGGATACTTGCAGCATTTGCAGCACAGAGATCCTGGAGGGTCTCTTCCACCAAGGAGTGGGCAAAGGATCCGCCTGCAAAGAAGATGCTTGCAAGCAAAAAAAGGCAAGGGTATCCAGATTAGACGGGTGTCCCAGCTGCGGGGCTGCACCAGGGACTTCCTCAACACAGCCAAGAGTTACAAGGCTTTGAAGCTCCAAAATAATAATAGTTTAGCTGTAGTAATACAGTAGTGGTAATAGTAATCATATAGTAATGGTAGTAATAATAGTAATAATAGTAGTGGAATGAGCCTGGGCCTGGTGGTCAGTCTGCCAATCGCGCTCGAGCTCCGCCAGCATCATCTCCACCTGTGCACCAGGCTTTGTGGCTCGTATGGCTCGTAGCTCCCAGCTTCTCCCAGCGCTCCACCTTGCCCGCATCATCAGCTGGCGGAGGGCAATCCTCGAAGTCTTCCGCAAATCACGATGATTTTCATGCGCATGTTTAACGAGCACCCACGAGGTGGCATGGCCGATCCAAACTGGTTTGAGCAGCCTCTTGCATCTCCCACAGCATTGCCGCACGTTCGAGCGTGCGACGTCGAACGAGAGCTTCAAACCTCCGCCCAGCGTGTCAGGTGTCAGGCACTTGCTGCGATCAAATATCGTCCACCAGCACTTGCCTCTTGAAGAGCGTCTTTGGCTCTTCAGGCACAAACATCCTTGCAAGGCGACCTCGGGATTCGCATCCCCCGCCTTCAGCTCATGGGCCTGTCACGGCCTCTCCTTCTGTTGCCTCAGCCCTGGGCGGCCGTCAACATCCACCCTCCGGGGTGGGCGGCCACTGCACAGAAATACAGCTTTGACCTGAGAGGATACCAGAATCTCTACCGGAGCACCGAATGCCCGGCTCGCCGTCATCTTTGAAACCCAAGGCACCCAATCCAGTCGAAAGGCACCTCCTGCAGCTCGCTTCCCCGCTATTGGCAGCAAATCGTCATACAGGAGAGGTGCACCAAAGCCTGAGGTCAGCAGCATTCCACCACTTGTCTGTCGATGATGCTTGTCTTCAAGTCTAAGGGTCAGGACCCCAACCATCTTGGACTTCAAATACTTCGATGAGTTGACCTTCTTTCACCTCATGGAATGCACGACCATCAGAAAGCTTGAATTGGCAGTTTCCCAAAATAGGGTGACCCAATATAGACCCCCAAATACAATAATCCTCATTATAGGGACCCCCAAAAGGGTACCCCTAATTTTGGGAAACCCCCAATAAGGCAGAGCTCCTGGCATCCGGCCTTGACCAGAAGGGAGACAAGCTCACTCTGATCTGCACGCAGTCCTTCCTGAAGAGAGTCAGCAGTGGAATCTGCTTCTTACTTCGGGGAAGTCACAAAGTTCTGGCTATGCTGATCTGTTCGTGGACTCCGCCCAAGCACCTGCACCTGTTCAAGCTCTGGTCCGGCACAGACATATTGGCGCCCAGAAGCAGGAAGAAGCAGCTTGTCCTACGGCAGCCAGCTTGTGGCCCAGATTAAGCCAAACGAATTGCCACGCGCGCCTGAAAGCCACTGAAAGACATCGTCAAAGGGGGGTGCAATCATCCCACATGCGCAGCAAACTAGCCGTTCATAGTGGGTGGGCTTATGGTTGTGGCCGTTCGTCAGGGTACAGCTGTGTGCAGACTCTGTTTCTTTCTTTGACAATCATGTCATGTCAGGTGCTCACATGAGTCGGCAAGCAGTTGAAATCCACTTGGCTTGGGCCATAGAACGTTTCAGCAGCGCGCGCCATAAAACTCTGTGCAAAGCAGCTCATTGCTCTCCGGGAAGGCACTTTGCTCAAGCATAAGGCTCAGGATCAAACTTGATGGGTTGGCATTGTGAATTTAGGGATGAGGTTGGAAACTGGAACTTTCAGAAAAAGTGAAAAAAAATGATCAGGACAGTGCGAGCGACCTATGCTTCAGGTACGGCCAAAATTGGATTTGCCTGCGTGCCACCCTTGTTTCCAACGAGGTTGGCGAAGCCTGTCGCTACCTGTCACAGGGAAGAACTACTTCAACCATTGTTTTATGCCGTTGTCGTTCGCACAAACTGCCCAGCACCTGACAAGTCCGTGGTTCCCAGCAGTATCTCCACAGCGACTTGTGGACAAAAACCATGACGTGGACAGCACCTCACTTCTGGATTCACTTTGTTCAGATTGACTCTTCAACAGGAAGAGGACCTCCAAGGAAGAAAAGGATGTGCTGAGCCTGATGCTCATATTGTGCGACCCAATCATCCGAAAGTCCTGGCAGAGATGGGATGTCTCTTGATCTACTGGACCTTGATGGATGTGCACGAGCAGCACCACTTTGACAGTCCTCACCGAGGTGGCGGCACATTTGGCGCTCCCATCTCGCCTGACGAAAATGAATGAAGAAACTCAGACGAGGTCCATTTATCAAGAGCATGTTGCCTTGCTGGACCATATGAGCGACTTCTCGATTGTTCGCTCGCACTCGCAGGTGCCAACAACATAGATGTGATGCCTGCAGCAGCATGATACAGAGGCAGCATGCCATTCATTGTGCTTTTGATAGTTCGCACGTAGCTCCGAAAGTGCACGAATGCAGCGGCCTTGGGCATGTAGGCACCCACTGGTTCAGATTTGCTGGTGCCTGATACGCCAGTGTCATGCTGTGCAACGGATTATTCAAAATATATGCAGTAATCAGTACGGCACTAGGAAACGGTGGCCTTTTTTCCGTGCAAATTCCAAACTCCGCAGAACACGCGGATTACCTGAAAGGCAAGAGAAGTACTAGCATCCAAGTTGTCCCGTTATTAGCACAACACACTGTGCGCTTTTCAAAAAAACGAGGACCCAGGGCGTTCACCGACTGCTTGCCGCCACCGAGCAAGGATACTTCTGCCTGCTGGCCGACATTCCGACTTCAGAGCTTTCAAAGTGAGGACACATCGGCCTCTTCCCAGCGATGGAAGGCGGTCTTGGCACTTGGGGATGCAAGCTCCTCAGATGAGTAAAGAAATCCGATTCCGCGCTCGCACTCGGAGACTGCTATGCTGAGCTCACGGCAGGGATAGCTGGAGGACTATCTCCTGCTTGCGACGGCGGCGAGGCGTCTTCGACCTCATCGCTCAGAAATGCCGCTTGCCCCACTGCGCCAGGTGGAAGCTCCTCGCAGCACGAAACCGACCAAAAAGCCTGTTAAGAGCAGAGCAACGCAAAGCAGAAAGTCCTGGACTGCTTTTCTGTCAGAGGGCTGTTTTTCCTGACAAGGTCAGCCAGACTTCCAACTTTTTGGCCCTCCGCCTTTGAAGCTCCGGGCCAGCTCAGCCAGCTCCTGCTGCATCCCAGGCAAGGCACCCGCCAGCTTGGCCTCAGCTGAGAATCCTGCAAAGGCCTCTGCAGAGTTGTTGTGGCAGAGGATGGTACGGGTTGCGCATGTGAACCCAGCAAGGGCGTGTCATCCGGCTCCTGAGAATGCTTGCAAGATCTTGCAAGTATTTGAAAATGGCAACATGCAATACAAGTTCGACATTGAGGTCACTTCTCGTTAAGCGCTAGAAGCAGTACGTGTCACTCCTCGGCCTGGACCACATAGTCGTACTGTACAGGCTGGGCTACCCCAGCAACGACTGGCACCTGCAGAGAGGCTGCAAAGCGCAAGGCTCAAGCTCATCCATGCAAAGGCTACCGGACCTGGTCACTTTTCTTGGTGGCCTGCAGGCTAAACCGCTAAGCAATGAGTGCTACTTCAGGTGCATGGGATCGTCAAAAGACTTGCCTTTTGGCCATCCTCCGGGACGGACTCCAAGCTGGCTGACCTTTTCCAATGCAACAGCTGAAAGGAACCCAAAGTAAAGCTCAAGTCCGCTTAGGATCACATTTCTTAGTACATCTCGCTACTCTGGAAAACGTCGGATGTTGGCAAGGCAAACCTCTGCGACACGTTCTCGTCGATTTCTCGGGCTTCTTTCCAGCCAGATGGCACCTGCACCAAACAGCTGTCAAGGAACTTGAGTAAAACTACCATCGCAAGGAAGCCATATCACTTACCCAGGGCTACTGAAGCTATATCACTTCACAACACTTCGCAACAACCCAGCATTCCACCTGGCTACCCCAAACAAGGATGCAAGCAGCAAGCCTCGTCATCAACGTAGACAGTTTTGCCTTCCTGCGCACACGATGAGCCATGATGCAAGGCGACAGCCAGGTGAGCGCGGGATGTGCGCTGCACGCAACAGCTCAGGCGGACTTCCCTGTCAGACCCCGCCCCCACACTGTACGAGCGCTCACTACACATCCAAGCCGCACCTCATAGCTCTCTCTGATGGGCCGGGCTACGGCCGCTGCGGCCATATGCCAGCCTGTCAAACAAACACAGTCCTTTCTTCTGTTGCGATGCCACTGACCCCTGAAGTCCGCTCATCTTCAAAGTAGCATGTTCCAGTGCATTCCATCATCGTGTGCAATCGCAATACGACAAGTCAATTCCAATGGATCAAGGACGGGGATTGGTGCCGCAGCAATCTTGGGGAGTCCGTAACGCCTTCGAGCTGTTAACGGGGGCTTTTCATCTGAGTAGACCAAAAAACCTACATTGCAACCACGGCTGCTGCGAGCCTGTTGTCCAAAAATGCACTCAAGGCTCACATTAGCGGAGGTGGCTATGCAGTTCCTGCATGGATCCAGGGTGTTGCCCTCTCTCGGGTCTTTGTCTCGATGTGTGTCATGCTGACCTTTCAAAACCTTCTTGCTGCAACAACTCGTCTCCAGCACATTGGCACTCATGTGCATTCAAAATGCATTTCATTGCAAAAGATGCGCCGTACAGAAACATGTGCATTGACTCACAATGACATATCCTCATAATAGTCTCCCTTGTACTGCCCCTGCGCTCACCGGAGCTGACAGCTGCAGACGAGATTGGTGATAGCATCTTTCGGCTCCTTCCAGTGGAATACTCCTTTGAAAGCTCTGCACGAGACCTTTTCTGAGCTTGCCTCCAAAAGCGAATATCACGTCTTTGCGCCTGGAGGTGCTGTTGCTGCAGGGCTATCTTTACCCCATCGGGCCAGCAACGCCTTAACACGTATGGAGTCGGACGAGATGATGCTATGCAGTAAGAAATGTTCTCATGCTCTGGGACACCTCTGCATCTGCTGTGTCATGCACAGCCCATGCACTTGAATGAATTATACACACTGCGCCCTTGGTTTGGGACCAGTCCCTCTCTTTCAGATGTAGCCGTGTCACTTATTCCAAGCCCTTACACCTGCCCTAAATAGTAGTCTTCATTCTATTTTCCATTATCCCAATATTACCCCAATACAGCCCTAATATTACCAGAATGGATACCTATATCACATTCAAACCAGAACATACCATAACGATGGCCCGTGCTGGTCCCAGTCCCAGTCAGCTAGCTTGCTTCATCGCAGAGCTCAGTCAATCTTGATGGAGCCATAGATGCCTTTTACAAACTGGAATGTGCTCAGAAATCCTTGGCGCCACAAGAAAGAGCTCAGAAGATACAAACAACGGAGCAGGAAGCAACAAAAAGTGCATGGCATCAGCTCAGCCTTGCACCCACTGCGCCGCTCACGAGGGCAAATATGCTGGACATGATGAACATGTACCTTGCATACCACAGGCGACAGTCTCGCACGACCTGAAGTGTCCTTTGCAAGTCCAAGGCGCCCGAAGTACATCAAGATAGAGACCCAGTGACGAATCTGCAGCCGGGAATTGAAGTACCTGCAGGCATGTGATGAGGGACTAGGGTTGAGGGTTTAGGGTTTCCTTGCAAGAAAAGACTGCGCAGCGAGTTAGACTGTGTGTCCGGAGGGCACATGATGGAGTAAAGGAAGACGTAGAATCCGGAGCTGCCACTTGCTGCAAATGCAGTCCACCACCACCGATAATCCTGAAGGCAGGAAAGGCGGGGCCGGTCGCCGGAACAAGTTGAGATGCAGTTCACCAAAACAGGGGACGCAATATAACCCAAAAATACTATAGTCCTTATTTTGGGGAACCCCTAATTTTAGTAATCCCTCAAATGTACAATTCTGCGGCCAAATGTGATGGCCTCCGAGGTAAGCTGGAAGTAAGTCAGGGCTATGGAGATCTCAGCACAGGTCACCATTACGATGACCAGCACCAGGGCCAGGAAACCAAAAAGATAGTAGAACCTGAGCATCCGCGTCCGCCATGAGAAGCTGCCAAGCGGATCACACCACAAGGATCCAAAGCTGGGGGGTAGGCTCATGCAGCCAAATGGAAGACATGATGAAGAAGAGCTCCGTAAACCTGTAGACAGAGGAAACGGAGGACTAGCTAGATCTTCTGAAGAATCTCAATAGAAATAGCAATAATAATACTAACAGCACTAGTAATAATAGTAATAATAATATGAGTAGTAGTAATAACATTAGGTAATTGCATGTCGTATGACCCCTTGGACTGAGAGTTTGGCACAGCACCAAATGGCAGGATGCCACCCACAAGCGATGTGGCCAAGGGCTGCATGTACCATGGCCTCAGTTGCAAAATTAACACTGCCCTCAAAAAGGAGGATGTAGGGGTCATATTGGGTTATATTATCGGGATATAAACCCTAAACCCTAAGCCCCTAATATATCCTATATAAACCCTAAACCCCCAAAACCCCTAATATATCCTATATAAACCCTAAACCCTAAACCCCAAATATAGGGGCACTTAGTGACATTTGGGGCTTCCAGAGTTCCAAGCCAAAGCAAAGCTCTGAGGCGAGAGCTGCTCAGGGATCGCTCGCGGAATCTGACAAAAGGACGTCATGGTTAATGTTGTTGGTTTAGGGTTTAGGGTTTAGGGTTGTTGTTTAATGTCTTCATGTGCTTATATTGGGGTTATACTGGGGTTGGGAAGTTTCCATTTTATTTTCCATTATCCCCATATAACCCCTATCAGGGGGGTTAGTAGGGAATATATTGGGATCATGAAAAAGAAAATGGAAACTACAGGGGATACATAGGGGATATGTAGGGGTTACTAGGAAATAGGGGTAGACGTATTAGGCACGGCCAAGAAAACATCCCCCGAAGCTGAACTTTGTTTCAAGCTCTCCTAGCAAGTAGAGATCAAGATACTGCAGAAGGGCCTGATTTGTGCGCACCGGCAGCTCTATTCTTTCTCGCTTGAATCCTGCCAGTTGCATCTCTACTCTGCACATTCTGATAGACATCACCTTGCTGTCCACAATTTGCAAAGCAAGTCCTGTGTAGGCCCCGAAGAAAACAAGAGGCACTGACACACCAAACCTCAAGCACGCTCACAGCACCGAGTCTAGTTGGCTCCCTCGGTCTTATTGCCGCACTGTGCCAGACCTGTGCAAGATTCCTCCCGCGGAAAGGTGTGCTGACAGAGTTCATGTCTGTCGAGCTGCAGGCTCTATCCACCAAGGCCTTTGTTCTTGCAGCCCCAAGGTCCCGGCCAGAGGACCAGAATGGCGAACAAGGTGGTAAAGGCCACCGCACCAGAAGACTGCAGGCTGGAAAAAGCAAAAAAGCAAAAGGATCTCAGCTTGACTTCCTGCTTTGCTGATGCCACGATAACACTCATGCAGCTGTCCGTTGCGTCTACGGAACTGCTACAAAATGACCACATCCGATTAGGATTGAAAAAACATGTGGAGGCTTTGCGCGAGGGCAAGGCAGGAGATGGACATACACCAGCAACAATGCAATGATGCAAGTGCTCAGCCCTTGCTCATTCCAGAAAAACTGATGCACTCTGGCGTTCCGAGTTGTTGTAGCTCCTGTGTTGTTGCTAATGTAATGTAGATGCTTTCCGTTTCAGACATCAAGCGTGTGCATGCGGTTTCCTACAACAACAAGGCCGGCTTGTCACCAAAATGAACAGAGCAGGCCCGCCAGCAGCCGGTTGACAGATGCAGCGCACCTTCTCGCCCCAGATGCAGAGATTCAGAACGAAAAAGATGCCAAAAAACAATCCTGACAAACCGAACTTGAGGCGCAGAATCTGACAGAGTTCATGTCTGGAAGCCTGCCTGGAAATAGGAAGGCCTGCAAGAAGGTTGTCATTTTCCACCGACCCTCGTCTCCATCAAACACCTCAGCGCATCCAAGCCGTCTCGCATTACAAGCTGGGCTTCGGATGCCGAAACTAGTGATAGAGCTTGTGACTACTCCGGCGGACAAGCTTGCAACTCTCGAAACGCGACTGAGGCCTGGCCTTGCACAGGCGGGCAGACGTGTAGCCGCCCACCACTCCCATCAAGGTGAAGAGCAGCATCATGGACTGAAGCAGGCCTCAGGAGGCGTTGTCACGTGCGCTTCAATCAGCTTCGAAATCCTAAGGCATTGGCTTCCGCGATGCGCGGGTGAGAGAAAGCCAAGGAGTGCAAAAAGAATGGTCACCTTCGCCGTCTTCACCGCATGCTAAGTCACACATCTCCACGTCTCAAACCGGCATCAGGCGATTTCACTCTGAGGCGCATGCCAAGGACATACCCAGAAGCTGCATGCCGGAGCCGGTAACCACACAAAGCAAGGTGGAGTAATGCGGCTTTCGGAAGACATCACCATGCACCAGCTTCCAACCTGCAAAGAGTTCAGGAGCAGCATGCAGCAGCTACAACCTTGTTGCAGCTGACCTACAGACACATGCGAGGACATTCGAAACTCACTGACAGCGGTCTCATGCTAGAAGCTGCTAGGACCTCACTATATAACTCCCGCGGGCGCTGTCATTTCTGCTCCCTGGTCCCCTTGGTCTTGGCCTGTCTCCTCTTTGGCTTCTTCCTCTGTGGGCACCTGCAGGCAGCGATGGCAGTTCGCAGCGTTCCTGGATGGACCTTTGGCTTAAACAAAGATCATGTCCAGGCCTGGTTGTAGGTCGCAATGTCCCGGTGCAAGGTTCGCAGGAGGATCATGGCAACCATGCCAGACCTGTGCGCACGGCAAAATAAAAAGGGTGAAAAGGATGCCTCACCATTCTGCATTGAAGCAAACTTTTTCCACAGCAACATAGCTCAGGCGCACGCAGGAACAGAAGGATCATCAGAGAGTTCAGAATTGCAAACCAGTGAATTTGGCCTTGACCCGTCCTTGACAAAGCTGGCAGGTAGTTATGTTGTCAACTACCAAGTCCTGTCCAGAACATCGCTTTGGCGGCCGATCGAAGGCTAGGGCTCCGGCACTTTGAGGTACGCGTCCCAGCGAGATGCCCAGCCTGGAAGAAGCACATCAGTACTGCCGCGTAATGAGCTCTCACGTGACATCCTCGAGGGTCTACTGATACTTGGGGCGGGATCTGGTGGAATGCCCCGCTCAAAATCAGATTGCCTGCGTGCATGCTGAGATCTGGACGCACAGGACTCAGTTTCCAATGAACGGAATAGCTGAACCTGAAAAAACACAGCACAACATTAGCTACTAGCCTTTATTGATGTTCAGTATGCTTGCCTGACATACATGACACCCCCACACTGGCCAACATGCAAAGAATACCATCAGCAACGTGCTTGGGTCGCGACACCACGTCATCTGAGGAATCCAAATCGAATGCGACCGCGCTGGTCGAACAGTCCGGCTCTCCACTTTTCCTACAACCAAAAAAAGAGGCATCAAACACATGACCCACCGTGTGCAGGCGTAGCAAGGGTCATCACATGTGCGCAGAACATGCCGGGTGCTCGGTGTAGAGGAACGCGGTTCTACCTGCCAAGCATTCAAAAGGTTCATCACGCTGGAATTTGTCAAAGGAAACTCTCAACAATCACTCGGAAGCACTTGCCTGGAATCCAACAATACGAAAGCCCTCGTATTTCTCGGGGTTTTCATGGTACTCCAAGTCCTGCAAGAGGGCCGTAGAGTGCCGCGCAATGCTATTAAACTGTCAGAAACATATATCACCTGCAGAAATTGCTATGATAATGTGGCATGGTGTGGCATATGAGCCCTGTCCAAACCCACGTGATTGTGCAGGTAGTACTTGCCCTTCTGCGCGATGCCCAGGAGGAAACCGTTCATGTAAGCAAAGTCTGAACCTCAGGGATACGGCAAAAGCGTTGGGCAACAACCAAAACACTTTTTCAAATGACTGCGCCTGTCTGACTATATCTGGTCGCAGCTGGAAGGTTGTCCACCATCCAGTTCACCATGTACTCATCAGCTATCATGTTCCGAAATTTATCCTGCAGGTTTGCTCAGTTGCAGCTTCGAAATTCAAACTTGTACGCCTCTTTCGGATTCTACCGGCTACACACTTGCAAAACTTGCAGCAGATGCCCGTCCTTCTCCTGCTTGGTCAGAGTCTTTGCACATAACTTCTCACAGGTTCTTTCTTGCATGAAGTTTATCTTGTAGGCTGACGTCCTTAGTCATGCTACAATACCGTTTGTCTAAGAAATAACGTTTGTCTGAAGGTCCACTTTCCCAACACAATCTGCAAGCCAGCGGCTCAATAACGTCCCCCATCATTTGCTCACCGAGGTTTTCTGTTGTGGCTTTGACACCATCCGTGGGCCTTAGGCTTTTGGGGGCCAAGAGTCTATAAACCTACATACACAATGAATGCTGACGTCTACGGTTAAACCGGGGGTTGCCCAAAAATCCACAGTGCCAACTACAGGCCTTTCAGACGGGGGTCTGTTCGGGACACATGCCACACGAAAAAGACGTCAACCGTTTGAGGCCATTGCGTGCAGAAAGCCAAGGTGTAGTAGCTGTACGGAAGCTGAGTCTTTGCCGACGTCAGCTTATTTACCTCTGAGACATGGCATGATGGCAACATGTGTGGCATCATTGGTAAGAGTTGTGGCCTTCAACTCCACGGCCTCATCGTTGCTGTACTCCTGCCGCTTCAGATCTTATGTCAACCGGCAGGAACCCTCCAAGCTGGTGCGGGGCCCTTGGAGCGAGGCCAGGCAAATAGAGCGCTGCTGCTGCGTGGAAGAGCAGCACACCTCCGACCCCAGCCACGTGCCGAACTCTCTTTGTGATTTCAAATACCACCCCAATGAGATGTCGGCTGGGCAGCATCCTCCCCATCATGGCCAGAACGGAAGTTGTGCTGAGGATGCACACCCTTCAACCAAGGTAATGGTTTGAAACTATTTGGCATTTGCAGCTGATCAATCTGAATGCTCTTTCCAATCAATCTCAAGAGCCCTGAACGCCTGCAGGGCCTACCCACGCCACAGCCATGGCATGCAACCAAATCATGGCCAGCAACACAAAAAAAAATGGCAACATGCCTGCAAATCCCAACGTGTGCAATGACTCCGAAAACCGAACATGTTCATTCATATACCGTTACTTCTTCATTGCCCCACAACTCTACTGACCTAGTGGACGCTTTTCCACAGCAATTCCACAGACAGCCGGTAAAACTAACACACGTGTTTGCACGAAATAAGCGAATCGTTTCAAAATCTCCGATTTCGCTTGACCTCAATGTCAAGCTAATGGGACATACGGCGGGCGAATTTGCACGCGATCATGGTTTCCACACCTTTTTTGTCGCTTTGCGCTCCGTTCCCTCCACCTGCCTGGGAAAAATGGCACGCATACATAGCAGCAAATGAGGAAACTGTGCTCAAATCCAAACCCAAAATACCGTCAGTCAAAACCGCTTGTGGAGACACACTGGCATGCACATGGGCATGTCCAGTCAATCACCCCCTTTTCCGCTGAACTGAACCGACAAAATCACACGTAGGAATTCTGCACTGCCATACCTTTGATGTTTTGCTCATATCTCTTCTTATGTTTGCATGTCGCCACACATATCGGTTGTTCATCGGAAAATTCGGACTGCCAGGTTTGTTGGTTTTCCTGTCCTACTCTGCCCCTGTATGTCACGATGCGCAAAAATACCGCATCGGGAAACACATGCCTGCATGAAATCCCCACATGGCACATGCGGCATTCCCCCCAGTGTCAGCTGCCGGTAACGCAACATGGAAGACGGCTTTGGGCAAGCAGCGCGTTGCATGACGGACTGGTGCGTCACATGGCTGACACAAGGACGGGTTTTGTCCAAGATGTTGCAAGAACAATGTATTCAAATGGAATTAACCTTTGTTTGTTGGGATTTGCGCAACCATGCCACGCGCAGCGAATCAAGCCAGCACCATTGAAGCCATTGATACACGGGGCAAAAACTTGAATGTTTTCATGTTGTGTCAACGTTGAGTGATTCCACAGGTCAACGCGTCAAAATCTTGCTTTGCCATGTTGAGCCATCTACTGACTTCACTACCCATCGTGCCATTTGTATCAAAGAGGCTTCCCAAATCTACTGGTTGGCAAAGCAGAAACTAACTTCATGTTTGCAAAGCCCAACATCAAAAGCTTCAACAGAAGGATGTGAGCCAGTCGAAGGTACAATCCTCATGCGTGACGAAACACCCATGGCCATTTTCTGCTGTGGCTGTTCCAAGGTCTCCGACTTTCGGATCTATCGTCACTTTGGACTCTCGTGTTTTCGTCGCGTGTCGAAAGAACCAACAAGCACCAGGATGGGACCCCTGGCAGTTGGTATCCTCATGTGTGTCGTCGTTTTTGGACCCTTGTGTTTACACTGGAGGCATTTTCGGAGCGCAATTCTGAGGCTCTGCATGTTGATGATTTGGGTGGCTTTGCTAGTGGCAGCGCAAGTTACCACTGTGTATGTCATAACAGACAGACACTCGGCCGCTCGCGACTATGTCACACGTGCGGCCCTTTGCTGTTTTTTTGCACAACCGGTTGGCGCACGTAGGTCCAGCTCGGGAGGTCACAAGCGCGATCTTTTATCAGTTGGGGCTGGGTAGCGGTTTCGACCAAATTCATTTCACGTCCGCAGGGCCGATGCTTTTGTCCCTTTTGCGGACACTACTGCCTTCGGTACATCTGATCCTCATGGACCATGATACCTGTCTCACATGTTTGTGGGAGGTGGAGGAACTGGGGCAGCTTGCTTCCGTTACCTTAGAATTGCAGGAGGAGCAGCCCAACATCCAACACGATCATGTGTGGCAGTATAGCCCTGAAGCTAAACATGCTTGCGTCCCAGGTTCATCACCAAACATTGCGGCGCTCCTCATCACAGAAGATGAATATGTATATGACGCCAACGCCGGCCTGGTGGTCTTTGTTGGGGATACCGGAGCTAGATGACCCGCCGTCTATTCCTCCCCCGGACGCGGATGCGGCCGTGGAGGGATGGGTGCAGCAAGTAGCACAACTGCACGCTAGCATGCTCGATGCCCACCTCGGCACGCAGGTACTGGATTTCCGCACCAATACTATGCATGGGTCAGCTTTTTGGCACGCCCCTCGCGGGCTTTAAGGCTACATCTAGAGCAACCTTTGTATATGTTTGGGACCTCCTGGTACGTTATCTACACTTCCAGGTATGGGCAGTGGATGGGAATACCATACTTCCACCTCCAGAGGGTCAGCGCCCGTTCCGGCCCGTTCCCTTCCATGGACTCAGTGAGGCATGGTTACAACTCTATCAAACCCGCTTGAAGTGGGGCGCAGGAGTCTATGAGCAAAACGTCCTGCCCCTCCTTAGGGCCATTAGCACTCCATATATAAGAGAGGGGGCACTTATGGGCACTCATTCCTGGAGTGTCCCCCCACTCGGTCTGCTGGCACTTTTCTCTGCCGCGACTCAAGTATCCCCCGACTCCGCCCGCAGTGCATTTTCCCGAATTTCCATTTTTTCGGAGTTTTCTGGAGTGTCCCCCCACTCCGCCCGCAGTCCATTTTCCTGCCCCCGCCGTCATTTTGCGTGTTTCCTGGAGTATCCCCCCAATCCGCCCGCACTCCGTTCTCCGATTTTTTCCTGGAGTATCCCCCCACTCCGCCCCGCCGTCATTTTTCCTGTTTCCTGCAGTATTCCCCCACCCCGCCCGCCGTCAGTTTCCCAGTTGCCTGGAATATCCCCCCACTCCACCCACCGTGATTTTCCCAGTTTTCTGGAGTATCCCCCCACTTCGCCGGCACTCCACGTTCCCAAAGTTTTCTGGTGTGTCCCACCTCACAATTCCGCAAGTGTCCTACACGCGCTCTGTAGCACGCACGAGTCACAATTCTGTAAGCGTTCTACTCGCTCAGGTGCACTTAGGAGTCACACTTCCTAAAGCGCCCCAACACTCACTCTGAGGCCATTTTTTGCTGCCGCAAATCTTAACACATTCATAACTCGTTGATCACGCGTTACCTTAAAATGTACTTCCTGGCTGGCTGGCTTGCAGGCTCGCTTGCTGACTGGCTTGCTTGCCGGCTTGCTGGGTGGCAGGTGCTGGCTTCTGTCGGGCAGTTTCTCAAAGCTTGCCGGCCAGCGTGCAGAAGCCTCAGCCTCGCTCGCCAAGTCCACGAGCTGCCCTGACCACCGAGTTCTCTCTCCAGTGCAATAAAAAGATGGCTGCTGAAAGGCAAAGCACCATCAAGCAACTGAGGAACCTTGACAAACAGGACACCCGTCACTTTACTCTCGACCCGCTTCGAGACACACAAGCCCTTGGGCTGCGGGGCCTTGCACCCTGTCGAAATACACTGCACGGCGAGACCTTCACGAAATCGGATAAGCGGTCCAATGCGTCCAGGGATGGACTGTCGGACACCCGCTTCCTTAGCGAGCTCGTGGTCCTGAAGCTCCTTCTTTGAGAGGTCAACCGCAACAAGCAGGGCAGAGTATGGCCGGCCGGATGCATTCAGGACGCGACGCGCAACCGGGATCTCCGAGGCCCTGCAGTGGACAACAGC